AAAAAAAAAAAAAAAAAAAAGAGATAGAAATTATACAACTGAAAAATATAATGGTAGAAATAAAAAGTTTCCTTGGAAGGGTTCAACAGCAGATTTGAAAAGGCAAGAAAAAGTATCAGCAAACTTAAAAGATAAGGCAATTGAAATTATTCACAATTTGAGCACAAATTTAATAAATAAATAAATAAAAATCAACAGAACCTCAGGGACCTGTGGGAATCAAACATACCAACATACACATATAGGAACCCCAAGAAGAGAAAGAAAAGCACAGAACAAATGTTTAAAGAAATGGCCAGAAGTGAGGGAGCTGCACTGAAAGCTGAGATGGGCAGAACTCCAGGCTTCCTGCCCAGTTAGCCATGTTGTGAACACAGAATAAAAGTTCTTGAAGGCAATTTAAAAGTGCTTCATCTCCAGAAAACACACAAATGATAGGAAAAAAGTCTGAATGAAGATCAATCCAGCCCAAACATCCCCCTAAGCTAAAGCCTGACCTAGAACAAGGCCTCAACTCTCTTCAATTCTCTGAAGGCTGAGAGATGTGAGGAGGCTGTAGAGGCTGGTCTATGAAGTCCAGGGGCGTCTCCATGACATAAAAGTGTAATGTGAAGCAGAAGGTGCTGACGGAGCAGCTTCGAGTGACCCAGGAGTCCTGGCTGAGAGTGGCTACACTACAGATGTTTACGATAGAAGACACCTCCTCCTGTTAGAAGATGCCATTCAGGCCTTTCATACCTGCAAAGGAGAAGTCCATGTCTGGCTTCAAAGCTTCACAGCACAGGCTGTCTGTCATTAGGGGCCAGAGCAGCAGGTGACCTTAACTCAAAGCCAGTGCTCACTGATCATTCTGAAAATCTCAGGGCCCGTCAGAATTATGCTGTACCTACTCTGCCTGTGCTCTGTAAATGGAACAACAAAGCCTGTATGTGATGAGAAAGGTGCTTCACTGCTGCAGAATTTTATCCCAAAACTCATAATCCCAGTCCAATCATGAGAAATACATCAAACAAATTCAAACTGAGAGACATTCAACAGACTACCCAACTGAATACTCATCAAAACTGTCAAGGTCATGAAAACCAAGGGAAGTGTGAAAAACTGTCATAGAGAAGAGAATGCAAAAGAAACATGATGACTAAATGTAGCATATACCTGGATCAGACCCTGGGACAAAAAGAGGACACGATGGAAAAACTGGTAAAATCCAAATAGAGTCTGGAGTTTACTTAATAGTAACTATCGATGCTGGCTTCTCCCTCATGACAAATGTTCCATAGTAATCTAAGACATTAACAATGGAGCATCTGGGTACGGGGCACATGGAAGCTCTTTGTACTATCATTGCCATTTTTATGTAAATCTAAAATTAGTCCAAAATATATCTTTACTGAAAAAGAAAGAAAAGACATAATAGATGGTATACCTTTTTTTATTCCACTACATATAACTACTTTGTAGGTTCAGAGAATCAGAACACGTCTGTTGCAAAGATATGTGACCCAATCTCTTAAGGCAGGTCTCTGTTCCTAAATGTAGAGATGCAGTCTGGGTTCATGGTAAGAAGTGGGACATTCCTAAGCCATGGCAAGGAGATGTGAGAATACTGACCTACACTGGACAAACAGGACCAGGACCACTGTCTGGAGTCATGTGCTATGGTCTGACATGGATGTCTCTAACATCATGTCACTTTCATTCATTTCTATTTCAAAGGTTTCTTCCAAGGAAGGCCTTGAATCTGGAGTTTTCCTTGAGGTTTCCAATGGTGTCAGCCCTGTTTCTTCTGCAGTCTGTTTTTCTACTTCAAATTCCCTGAAATCCCACGGAGGTGAAATAATGTTTTTTAGTGTCTTCATTGTATGCACATCAAAGTCATAACATTTTAATTTGTCTTTAATGTCTGCTCCTAAAAAGAAATACCATAATTAGAATAAAATAAGAAACTCCCTTGTTTATCTGCCATTTCCACCATTATGTAACATTGTCTCTATCACGTAAGTCAAATTGTACTTTTAAGAGCACAACTAAAAATCAGAAGGAAAACAATGTTCTAATCTTCTTCTTTTCCACCACTTTCAAAGGAGGTGCTGGAAGACTTTCAGAATCATGTGTGG